TTTTTTTTTTTTGCAACCAAACAAATTCTTTTCGGAATTTCCTCCCCCACATCTCTTTACTCGTGGATAATCAGAGAGTGTGCAGTGTTTATAAACTGTAAACGAATGGATATTTCTTGTGATTCGGTTCGATAATCGATTACGGATTATCAGTTGTTTATTGTGTTAAGTTTTTGTTACGTATCAGTGTGGATAGAAAGAAGATTTCACGGAGGACGAGACGAGTGGGATCGATTTGAAGAAATTTGAAAATCGAACACCTGATCAGTTTCACAGATTTGTCTTTATCGTTAGGAAAACGGAGAACACAGTGGAATTTCCCGACGTTTTCATTCCACGCGAGTAGCAGCCAGAAAACTCGAGGCGATCGCGAGCCGGGTAGCTCCTCTCTCGCTAATCCAATTTCAAGTTTTCTGCCGCTTTTGTAGCGCTGCGAAACCTTAGGAATCCTGGCTCTATTGCGGTTATCTCGTAGTATCCGATCCGTCGACGCGGTGAAAAGCGTCCGATATCGATAGATAGCGAGGGAGAGAGAGGGAGAGACCTCGGTGGTTGTTGGCTTATTAATTTCATCGATTCATATTGAATCGTAATTTTCTTCTATCGTCCTCTATTTCGATTCGTATCTCATGCATAAATATCCACAAACGTCTTCCAACTTGTCGTTGAATAACACTTCCTCTCGCGTTAAATCTTGGTTCAAATCACATTTTCCTCCACGTTCAACGTGAATCTCTCGTTTCTTCGAACGAGTTCGCTCGGTACAGTGGTTCTCGAATGGAAAGACAGCTGAGGTGTGTGGACGGTATGGAATTCTGAACAGGGAAACGATTATTCCTACGCGTTTCAACGCGATATCGCCAGATTTTTAGCGTTGGTTTATTTCTAAAACGAGAGAAAAGAAATATTTGATCGGTGCGTCAAAGAGAGGGAGAGCGCAAGAGAGGAATTCTAACGATACTTAAGGTTCCGACAACGGAATTTTCGCGACCCTCTACACTTTTTGCGATATCTATTTTCGTGCCACGTTTACTCACGGTCCCCGGCGGTTCCCCGCGATTCCAACCATACTCCGGCTCGAAGAAAAAGTTCGATAGCGGAGATAAAGGGAGGATTCGGATCACCGATGATCGAAATGGAAACCTCCACGGTGGTCTTTATCCCGCAGAACACACGTAAGCAATCATCTCTCGTGATTTCCAATATTAATAATCAGATATGAATGGAATTGAAAGAGGGGGTGGGAGGATTGGGAGCGACGATTTCGACTGTAGGTGAAAATTAGGGTCAATTTGATGTATATATCTTAACAGTAGATTTCTGTCTATCGTTTCTGATTATTCAATTTCAACTGGGATAGATTAAAAGCGGAGTGTTGCCAATTGGATGAGATGCTTCGACGGTCATATATATGTATATCAGTCGAGTTTAACTGAGATCATACTTCTTCTGGGAAATCGACAAGCGTAATTCGTGCGCGTTCCACGTCGAATCGAATAAATTCATTCGCGGAGTATTATCGGTGTTTCGATTAAATTTCCTCGTACCGCAGCTACGTTCGAAGGATGTTTCTTTTTAATTGGATCGTCATGCCGCGTTTTTATTGACCGGAATATGAACAGAGTGTATTCGAGATGTTTCGAAATGGTCGAGGAAAAAAGAAACGTAATACCGGCGAGATGGTTAAGATTGTTCGTCCGAATGAACGTTCTCGTTTCAAGGGAAATAAAAAGAAAAAGAGAAATTAATATTTTATATCGATTAAAGTTTCTCCGGTTGTCCATTGGAGTGCATACGTGTAAAGGAGATATAGAACGAGGACATTCATTCCTGATGTTCTAACACTTGAAATGCCCCCGCTCGATATAATTAGTGGATCGCCTAATCAAGTGACCCGGATTGTCCAATAAAGTACCTTCGCGTTCGACGCTCTCAACAGCCCCCGTACATTAATTTCTTCTCTGCGCTGGCCCGCGCGCGCGGATTGACAGCGCGGAGAATACGAATCAATATGCGGGGAGGCATAAGGCTAGAGAAGCGCTATCACGAACAGTATAATAGTCGAGACACGGCGTAAAATGCCATTGTCAGATCTTATTTATACGACGTAGACATTCCATTCGATTTGTTCTTCTGAATCCGTTTCAAAATCCGATCTATCGATTATTCGAACCATTTGCACTCTGAGGATTTTGTTTTCTTTTTCTTTAATACGATCGACACAGTAAGCGTAAGTGAAACTTTCGAAAACTCGAAGATTTTTCAAAATCGTTCGTCAAATTTTCAATGTCGATGAATTTACTTATTTTTATCTCTTTTGTTGATTCGCTGTATTTCAACCTGTTACCTGAGTTCACCTCTCGAACAGAAATAGAATCTCCCTAGATTGTAATTGAAAGTTAGTTAAAATTGTAACCAAATACTTCGTTTCGGTTCTTGCAAATATGAATATAATAAAAGTTATTGTAAAAATTAATAATAAAATTAATAAAAGTCTTCCCCAATTAACAGGTTATTAATCTAGGAAAAAAAATTCCCTAGTAATTACACCAGTTGGAGTGCAAATGGTTGAGAGCAGAATAGTAAATAGTTATTTAATGAATGTATTATATAAAATAATATGTTTCACACAATGAATTAACACAAAGATTTCTTCTCTCCGTATTGCCATTCTTTCTTCTCCTCCCGGTATCCCTTTATCGCGCCCCTCCCTTTCCTCCCCTCTTTCTCTCTGTTCTTCTGTTTCCGGTTCCACACGGATGCCGGATGACCGCACGGTCCACGATAAACGCCGTCACGACCACGACTACGATGATCGGTTCAACAACGACCATGACAACGTCACAACTACCACGATCACATCGGACACCACGGCAGCGGTAAGTTTCTGATAAGGCTAGTCACATTCCAATTGTCCGGCGACATGCGTGGAAGCACGCCTCGTGCCCGCAATACTAAATTCACGAACTCGCGTACCGACCAGGTTCCGAGGCATTTGGTTCACCTTTCGTGGTAGCTGTCTCGTTCTCATTGTTCGCCCCGTGCCGTGCCGTTTCGTTCCGTTCCACGCGAAATTTCGATCGGTACATTGTTCCAACCCCCCCAATGGGCGTTTTCTTCCTTTTCGAAACGAAACCACGTCGTGATTTTACGCGAAACTTACTGTATGTATTCACATTCCGACCGTTGAAAGTTCGCCTTTCTATACGCGTTAGTAAACAGCGAGCGTGTTAAATTCCGATTTCTTGTTGAGCGATTTGATCTGTGTCACGTTCGGTAACGTTCCAGGAAAACGTAGATAATACTGGTTGTAAATGATCGATGATACACACTTGGCTGATTCATTGACGCGGAAACGCAATAATCGCTGTCACTGAGTAAGGCGCGTGGAACGCAAAGTGTGATTTTTTCGCTAGAGGGAGTATCGATACGAGTGGGATCGCAATAACGAACGATAATCGATTCCTATTGGAAGTTTACGCGTGAGAACGAACGGTCGAATTTGTGTCACCTGTACTCGATTACTATTGTGATATAAAAAAGAAACAAAGAAGTAGTTGAATTGATCTATAAAGACGTTTTATTTGATCGAGTTAATCGAAACGAAAGAGAAAAAGCGTATATAGTATATTTGTATATACTTGTTCGTTATTGATTCACGTGATTATATACCGTCAAGTGTGAAAAATGCCACGGATATCAGAAGGTGTGTGAAATCTGTCGTAGTTGAATGATCGAGTTGATTCGAACAGCTGCTGCGCGATTAATAAAGAAAAACGGGGACAATTGTTCGGGTACGATAGAGAATCATTAAAATGTCAGCGTCTACGGCGACGAAACGTCGTCTGAAGCCGGCGCTTCTTGCCAGATACAATGGTCAACTGCAGAATGTCTCTCAACAGGTAGTTATATCGTAGCAATACTTTACTTTTTTACGATCATACATTTTTTTTCTTAGGAATTGTTTTATTCGTTTATGTGGAACTTTGATATCGTCTATCGTTACGTATACTATAGATAAGAAATTTATATAGGAACAGTCAAGGTCTAGTAGCGCCTTTATCTATATGCAGGTTTCCTAAACTGTTTCCTTTTTTTGCTCCGTAGTCACGCTATGCGAATATTGGGTCGAAGGATAAAACGATGGAAGTAGGTTAAATATCACGCCGCGGTGCATTCATTGATTTAGGGAGGTGTCTGGTAAAATCTTCGAGGAACTGGACTCCCGTTCCTTCGTAAAAAGTTTCCTTCAGAGTTTTGGTAATGGAGATGATCTGTATATCTCATCGTGCAAGTTCAACTTTTTCTGTTTTTCGTATGGTGTCAACGATCGCATCGACTCGCCGAGCTGTCATGCTTGGTATTCTAACGCGACGCTAGGAAGTACGTAGCAGAATACTTGGAGTATCATTGTGGCCTTAATTGGACACCGAGCTAATAAGAGCATCGAACTATTAAAGCTACGTGGATCGCTATATTTGCGAACGCCACCTGCATTCACGCACACGCTATTTCTGCTCTCTACTGTTTTCCCTCTGAAGTCCCTCTCTTTTGTAGACACAGGGTTATTGTAGTACGGAAAGATGGTCATTGTTTTTAATATATTTGAACTGATTTTCATGTAGCGTTGGTCTTTTATCTAATTGAGATTTAAAAAAAAATATATTCATTTTACTTATGATAAGTAGATAATGACTTTCATCTAATCGAAATGTGCATGTCCCTTTTAGTTACGAAACATAGTACACGTGCTTTTTTGACATAACGATCAAACGAGAAAAAACTTTCGCCGGACACGTAGCGCCACCACAGCCGAACTGCCTAGCTTGCGTAGTTACATTTTACGGTACATCCATGAAAACAGCCGGTAAATAAGAGCAACGCTCTTTCGCATTCCTTTCAATTAAATAACGAGGAGATTTTTCCAATAGTATCAGTTGCCGTAGTAGAATTAAAAAGTAATCGAAATGTACCATGTTTTTGCACCACGAATTTTTCCTTTTATTCTCTCAAAATTTGTTACCAATACCGGTAATATCTATCTACTCGTCATACTACATTTCTACAAACTTCAAATTTTTCTACCAATTCTAATCCTATTTGAAAAGAAAATTTCAAAACCCCGTTTTCAACGAAAATTCATCAACTGGTCCCCAGTCGAAAAACAAAAGCAGTTGTGCATATTTGCGTGTCAACACACGGCATGCATCTTCGTTCGAAACGCAGAAAAAAAATTATTTTCAACAACATGATTCGTCGACTTCGTTGAAACACTGACCGAACCGTACAGTCGAGAACAATATGTTCGCTCATCCGCCAGGATGCTCGTGTACGTCGCATCCCGATTGGTCGTCGTTATACCGTGGAACACATGCGCAGAGTAGAGAGGCAGCCTCGTTGGTTATCCGCCGAGCAGAAGCGGCGGTGTAGTGGATTTACCCCCACTCATGGTGGTAGCTGCGTCAGGCGTGGTCGTTCGTTAGGGACCGCAGTATATCCGAGTCGGGCGAGTCGTATGTATCGGGTTCGGTGTCGCTTGTCAACCTTTGTCTACGAAGCTGTGTGCGTATACGCGCACCCGCGGGTGTTGGTGTGCGTGCTTGGCAGAGAGGTCGTTTAACTTTTTCCCCCCCTTCTCTCCCATCGTCCCCCGTTCGTTGTTTTTCTTTTTACATCGCGATCGGTGGAACGAGGAATAAACGTCGTTTAGCTTTTCTCGAAAGCGAGGGCCAGTTCGATATAATGAAACAATGCACAGAAAAGTGAGAGTGAACGTGGCCACGTTCGGCCGGTTTGCCGACAGTGTGAATCACCAGCAACACCGGCGTTCATGAGCCCACGCAGTGCTAACCGATGCACGATTTCTCTCTTTCTCTTCCCCCTATTGCTCTTTTTCTTACTACCCTCTCTCGCACTCCTCTACGTACACTGTTCGTGCTCCCCCCTGGCACGAAAGTGCTGTTCTACACGCGTACGCAAATTTTTCCTTCGAGTGTGACAGATACAGTGCACAAAGCCGTATAGTGAGTACTCATTGTTGTTCTTCCGAGCGATTAATCCCCTAAACGTGAATAGCTACGTTATATGTGCATGTGTCTCTGCGTTGCTCTCGAATTGTGCGTTCACTTGTGTAACATTATCCGTGGCCGTCTATGACCGTGATACGGTTTCTGTTGATCCTGTGTAATGAAGGCGTTTCCAAGGGCACATCGTGGCTTTCGCGGATCGGCCAAGAAATCGCCATTCAAGGGATTCGAGTTCACAATCTAAGTTTGTTTTCGTGTCTCCCTTCCTGTCAGATGAATCTCTTTCGTAACTTTTTTCTATCTTTGTTAGCGATTGAAAATGAATGAAAGCGTAATGTCTTATTTGAGGCTTTCTGTGACAGTAATTGTTCTCGTGAAGTTTACAGTTTGTCAAGGACTGATATGAATGACGGTCCAAGAGATGGCCAAAAAGAATTTATTTAACACTTCTTTGGTTTATTCTATTTATAGAATTTAAATTTATAGTAGCATATCTTATTGTTAATTGTGGAGAGTCCTTTATTCTTTCCTCAAAGCGTCTCGGATTAGCGCTTTTAAATCCCTAGTGTAGAGCAACAGTTTCTTGGGTCGCAGAAACCGATATCGAGCCGAAGAAGCAACTGTATGACATACACGTATTTTTGTCCTTTACGATAAAAGAACGCCTTTTATCGTCTGGCACGCCCGTTCTTTTACTTCTCCATTTTTAAGGAATAATTCGAGCTATTCGCACATTCACAATGCATTGTCAAACAACATATTTCTTTCTTTGCACTTTCAACTGAACTATACCAACTTTCTGTCCCTTCTATTCTTAGACAAAAAATAAAGAAAGAAAGAGAGAAAACATGACTTAACCTTCCATTATCAGTTTTCCCGGTGATAGAAAGGACCAAGATACATAGGAAGCTGTGAGTCCCCCGGTATAGGGGAAAGCGAGAAAGAGAGAGAATTGTGTCGAACAGAGATCACTTGAGATCGTTGTGTGGAAATGTCGACCGAAAATCAAAACGGTTCCGCCGGCACGCAAAGCAACGGCATTAAAACCTCGATCAGCCTATCGTCGTCCACGAGGACCGTATCGAACAATTCGTCCTTTCTATACAGCAGCAATTCGAACACATCCAGCTTTAATGCCGGTTCCAATGGCAGCGGCACCACCGAACGATTGAGCAGAGATCGCGAAGTCGGAGGTAGTTACAGGCTGGCGAGCCTCGACAGGCTTGCCCTCAGGCAGAGGATACTGGACGGGGAAAAGGCGAACGGCGACACCACGTCGGTAAGCCTGAGCATCTTTCCTTTTTTCACGGACGACTCATTACGTTCTGCGTAATCTATGCCTGAACACCCTTCGGGTAAAGTAGGTAATTTCTGGTAATGAATACCATTTAAAGTGCATTAGATGGCTCTGTTTACGATGATCCTCTTCCAAGTATGATTTATACGTGTATCGAAGGATGAATATATAGGTTAGGTTAATTTCTATTATTAAGTATGCGTTTTAGTAATTGTGGTTCGACGTAGAATTTAATATTATTGAATTTTGATGGTATTGCTGGAATATGGAATTGAATTGTTACTAATAGCAAATTCGTTCTACATGCGGGACCGACGGAATTAGTTCTTAAGCTAGATTTCATATCGATCAACTTAACCTGGCACGTTTAACGAGCCGGGTCATAGAACTTGTAACCTTAGGTGTCATCGAGTGGGAACATTCCCGTAAATCTATAATCGATAAGTCCATAAAAGCGACAAACGAACATCCTTTAATTACGGAAAGATCGATCACATCGACCGGATGCTGCGACTGTGCACAGAGGGCTCTCTTTAACCCCGAAGTTTCAGCTTCC